GGTATTGTGGGGGGGGGGGGCGAATAGACGTTTTGCGTGCAGATTTTAAGAGAAAACTTTGCAGAAGTCTAAGATTTTGTAACATGCGTCAATGTGCATGTTCATAGGTCCATTGTTAGCTTGTGGGCGTGGTACTACCCGGTTGCCCAGGTCGAGATAGACGGTTTTTTCGAGGGACCGTACCTGGAGCCTTTGCTTAAAGAACCTGATCCACAAGGCAGTGGACTGGAGTATGGAGTCCACGATCCTCTGGGAACCGGTGACTGGGGAGTGGGGCGGTTCATACGCCTTTCGGATACGGCTAGGTACCCAGATTGCCCTTGAGCCACGCGCTTGCCGGTGAGCATCACGGTGGCCAACTCCAAAGGTTAACGTTGGAGACCGGTTCGGTTGCGCCGAAGATGGGTGCCACCATGAGCTTCTTACGCCAGGTGTGGGTGGTTTGGAATCAGGATTTCGCCAACTCCCCTAGACTGACTACCATTGGTCAGTCCACCAGGTGGAACGCGCCGGGCATTCGCCTTTGGCCTCCCACTTTAGTGGTAACTTCCGCCACGAGAAGGCAGTAGGTAGAACTTCCTCAGCAGATTTGATTTGAACACTTTTGGGTTTTTTCTGGAAACGCGAGCATAAATTACTTCGTCAAATGGATACTCAAAGTTTACTCCTAACACTCATAGGATCGGATCGGTTCTGCGCGGGACTGCAAGCAGAAGCAGTTGGTAGTATCGGAATGGTGCTTGCATTTACGAACCAATGAGTGTGCGAGCTGATTTCAGTCGTGAATCACCCAATGTCCTCACCGACTCAGGTTATCGTGCTCATCAGAGATCAAGTGTTCACGAATATGTCCTATCAGCTGTCTGGGACTGTACTATTCTATCCGGAGTTGGATTTTTGAGGTTTTTTACTCATACACTATCGTGTAACGAACAGCAGTAGAAGTGAACTCCATAGTCGTGAGGATCGGCAACTTAAACCCCTGCCACTTGAAGCTCCACATTAGCTTATACGCGGTATAAAACCGGACAACATCAATGCTGTTGATCACCAAAATTGGGTTGTAGCGAAATTTAGAGAATGAAAATGAACTTCCGGAACTGCTCGCTCTCATTCTCACCGTGGTAGTGAACTCAGTCACCCAAACATCTGGACCGAGAGAGACAACAGTTCGGGTATGTATTACCGTTTGACGGGGTGTGCTAAATGAATTTCCTGCACTTTATTCTTTGATCATGCGAGTAAAGTTTACGGATCTCCAGCAACACCCCTAAATCAAAATTTGGAATTGAGGTGGACTGGTTCGGATAGTTCATTACTAACATTGTAAGAATTTCAGCTTCATTCATACCTGTTCGGAACTTTTTCGGGTTATTTACTGCACCACCACAACTCTAGTATTTTAATTCCACAGAACATCGATTTTTCTCTGAGAAGTGTTAGGTTTCTATTCGACATTCTGAATTCTCACTCAGTTATTCATTCGCACAATGCGAGCAATTTAAGTTCTAAGTTGTCGTGAATGTGATGGAATTCAGTTTTATTTATCTACCGCCAAATTTCATGCACTACCCGCAGCGAATGACGAGCCGTATGTGAGCCGAAAAAAGCGAAAAGAACAACTAAAACAGACCTCACGCAAACAAGAGTTTTCTCAACTCGAGAACGAGGATATTTCAGACGGTTGGACACAAGTGGAACAAAAACAACTAGAGGTCGCCATTCGATCAATTCCAAAAGGAACTCCCGAACGCTGGGATCGCATTGCAGACTGCGTACCAAGCAAGTCCAAGGTAGGCCTTGTCATCTAATGTGTCATCTTAAGTTTAGCTCATTTTGAGGTAACTGCACCCGCGCCAACATAGTTTACTTAGGTGCGAAATTGACGCCAACACCAACCCGAGCTAGTGGTGTTAATTTAGTCACAAATCCAGCAATATTTCTAGCTCATGATTGAAATTTTACCGAAACCTTTTCATCAAACTGCTTTGCGTCTCTATCATTTTGTCTTATGTTTGTCCCCTGTTACCATCAACCTACGTACTCGTTTTTATAGCTCTTCCCCATATTGGAATTATAATGCTTTCGGTCGATAAACTATTGTGATTCGACGGCTCCGCGCAATGGGTCGAAACAATGACCTATGGAGGAGGACATCGAGATTAGTAATGAACAAGCTCACCTTCAGTTATTCGTGGTCATGCCAATACCTAGCATTAGATATAATGATGAATTAGTTCTAATGGGGGTATTTTATTGTCGCCTGTTCTTTTCAGACTCGAAATCCGAATCGAATAGCTGGAGGGAAGTGGGAACGAACCAGGGTCGTAAAGATTCTATCGAACTTGCAGTCTTTCGCGCCAAAGGCGTGCATGCAAACATTTTATTTATGAGAGATTGTGTTTTATTACGTTTATCGGTAATGTAATGTAGGTAATGAATTGGAGCGGTGTATCGCTCTTCACATCGTACAGAACCCACAGATACTGATGTCGTAGACGCGACACACATAACCCAAGAGATACGTCTTTGAAACCAGCACTACGGGACCGTCTGAATTCCCTCCTGTGACTCAGTATATGGGTGCAAATACCAAGTGACCCCACATGTTATCAACGCCTTAGAACCGATTTATCTGGAGAAAGTGTCATTTCTAAGAAATCCGACTCACCTAAATCCTCCCGGGTTATACTCAGCACAAGGCTGGTAACGGCGCATTGCTGTTAGTTACTGTTGTTAACGGAGATACAATGGCTTTCGCGTTGACGAGTAACTCTCTGCGATCATCTGCACAATCAAACGCGCAGGTCAAATGATATCAGTCAATCAAATAAGCCGTGTGCGTTCACGTTTATGACTATTATAAAAACAACTACCTACCGTTCCTGGCTTGATCCCAGTATTCTACACAGTTTTTCAGGCCACATCAGCTTACTTCGTCCTCCTTCCTTTGTTCGTGCTCATTGACTTCTCTCCGCCCTTATGTTTGTCACATTAACTCGACCTGCGTTTGGACTTGGTTGCAATCGAAAGTCTTCTGCACTGGATTGCTCCGCCATTATGGTAATAGATTCCTATTTCTCCTGCTTCAATGTATGTACCGGTCTCATCGCGCGTCATTTCACGCTGGTTCCTCATTAAAAGCCTGTACCTCAGACACTCCGATGCTATTAGGGGGTCAAATGGTGCTCAGTCAAGTTTTCTTCGATACGCGTTTTTTCGGTAGTTGCACTGTTGGGCTTATTGAAGGAATACCTGCCTATCACTCAACTGACTGTTCTTTCCAATATATTCTTGAGAATCAAGGGTGAGACAATACAGGGCCCGGAGCTATGCATTTAATAGTGCAATAAGTGTTTTCGTATCTTGGAGGAATTTCTACAGGTTTACTAAAATTTGATCTTCAACCATAGGTGGCGTCCCTCAAGCATATTTTCCATCATGTTCTTTGTGGTTGACTGAGCAGTTTCACTGCATTTGTAATTTGATGAACGTTAATCGTTTTCCTGTTTGGTAAGGACCTTTGAAAATTTGTCTGGAGGTCGTTTTTGCAGTTGCCATGGAAACAGGGTCACAATTTTACAACTTTTTGTTCCTCTCCTGATTGCGGGGTCTTGATGTATGGCGATTGGGTCTATCCCGTTAGATGTAACCGATTGGCTCACACCTTATTACGGATAGTGCATTTTGAACCTCAAAAAATAGTTTTTTTTCTTGACTCTCTTCCTTCCGAAACCTTAGATTTTCCAATTCTGTTCTAGGTTGAAGTAATGAATCGAGTCAGGCATCTATCAACTTTGGTTAAGAACAAATCAAGTCGGACCTGAGTGGTTGTTCGGACCGACGTCAATCCACGGCTGATTACTGATCGCTGTCTGTTCTCAAACTCGAGTCTGTTCCAACTGAGCTACGGCTACTCTTACTTTGGGATCACTGTGATAACCATCCTCTATTGGTCCCTCTTTTCGTTATGCGTTGCTGGTTGTGTATTCAGTTATCCGAAAACTCTCTGTCGTTTATCGTGCCGTTGTTTTCGTCTCAAGGCGTCATTTTACTGTCATGATAGCAACTCTTTATTCTATTTTTTTCGAGGCGTTACCAACAACGCACCCCTTATGAACTTTCATGCATTCCTGTGTAAAGCAATCAGTGGAATGCCTCCGTACTGTTTGTTTCCGTCCAACTTGATTTCCATCTATACCTCTTCTGCGTTCCATATGTAATTAATGCAAATTTGATCTCTGTCCTGACATCGTCCGTCTCCATTCAGATAGTCATTTCGGTGGCCTGTGGTATACGCCATACTGAGTTCAACTAATCGGTTCATACCTTTGTCTCATTTCTATTTTCGATGCACCGTACGTTTGACCGTAATATCCTCGACAAAACAGCAGTAACGTTCAGATTTCTGGATTTCGAAATCTTTCCTAATACGAACTGTGGCTGTTTTATCTGAGACGGAGAAAATAGGACATGACCTAAATTACACGGATCAACGAGCTTAAGGTTAACGGAAATGGAGGCAGTTTGAAGCACAAATGAAGTACTTTAGGGCAAATTTCTTCAACAGTATACATACCGAACTCTGTTGCATCCTCCGAGGATCCTGCGGATGAAATTACCATGACAGTACTTCTGTTTCGGAAGTATCACGATTGAAACATACACTGTACGTCAGCTTCGAAGTTGTAACGAATTCAAGCGTATTTCCCAAACAAATACAGTTTATAATTACGCATTCGTTATGTTTTACGCCGCTTAGTCGCACAGCATTATATCACAGGTGAACACTACAAGTGTAAAGAACACAAGATACAGCACAGTAACACTGGTAGCACACGGAACCACCTGAACAGCGGACTAGCACCAAGTTCGTGAACAAATGATAGTTCTAGGAGCGGAAGCTACGTAGACGAAACAGGATGCACGATCTCTCAGGTCTCCCAAAACACGAGAGAGATAAGACGGCTTCAGGAGCACGGGCGTTAAACAAAGTTCAGTCGGTCATAGGCCACGGATCAGACGGACGGACAGAGTGAATATTGCCGTAAGACGCAATATTATTATCATGTTATATTATATTGATTAATCTCCACGAGATTAGTATTGACCCGAGATGACCCCAATTAGGATCAAATGTACTGTGAATTTGTTCGATTGTTTCCCCCAAAATTAGCAAATATGCAGCCGGGCTTATCTTGGGACAAATAGCAGCGATCTTCGTCCCAACAGTATTCCTAGATGCATTGTACTGGTCCACTACTCAGATAAAACCACTATCGCGACATATTCCGGGCCGGAAATATGCGAAGACGGTCAAGGCTAACGCACAGCGCTCACTCGTTCCTCTTGCGATCTAGTGTTCGACCAAGGTTTTCAACTAGTTATCGGAGTGCCCATTCTTGTGATAGGCCAGCCGAACTCAAGCAGTCCACCCAGAGGTAAATCGTTGGTTGCCCCTTTGGAATGTCATAGATCTTTTTTTCTCAATTGTGGCTACTTTGAACCCTCCGTTGTTTTTGCCCTAACCACTTTACAAGGCTTTCGCTGATAAAGACGTAATAAAATTGCCAACCTAGCGCGTTTGGCTTCAAATCAGAACTGGCGGAGTGCTTCAAAGCGATTTCTAATCAGAAACCACAAATAAGATTGATGATCCGTTGGTGAAATTACGGAAACCGTAAACTCCATTGTTCGGACTTCAGTGATCATCCGGAGTGTCACGGTCGTCAATACAGAAATTATACACTACGAAGAGGCTATTTGTCAGAGAGAACGTAGTCGAAGTATGGAATTCCAGGAAAACTGAGTCCTTGTCTGCAGGACTAACTGTCGGAAACTGAAAATGAGCAAATGAAACACAAACAAGCGTGCGTGCAGCGAGCAACCAGTCACTGGCACCTCAACAATCAGTAGTGAAACCACTGTCCATCAGAACTGAACTTCCTCAAACATCATCATCGTACAGTGAAATACTGATCGCTGCCAAACTCGCAATCCAATGGTCAGGTACCGCTAGGGTCTCCAGCTTTGGATTCTCAACCAAAGCCTTTAGTTTTGACAAGAACCTAGCCGCAAGGCAGCGGGTGAAGCGCAGTGAAAGCCCATTTACTTGGATTGATTAGTCTTCCACTATTTTTTACCGACTGAAACGCAAATCCTAATCGAACCCCCAACCTGGAGGACCAAGAGACTTGACTTCGTCTGACCTCTACCCTTCGACCTTCCAGGCATGGCAAAAGCCATTCCGTGNGTGTAGCCCGTTGGGTCAGAGGTACACAAACCATCACACCACGTCAACGTGCAGTCTCGTTGTGATGGCTCCCCAAAAACACTTAAATTAAATTGTTACTCATACGTACACATGGGTGAACGTTACCAGTCACAAACCAACGGGAAGTAAATGAAACACGAAAATGTTCTGATTTNACCGAATACATGACTCTGTCGGGAACTGAACTACGACACGGAGGAAGACGTGGGAACATCCCTCTGAGCTGGGCCGCTATCGCTCATATGGGGAAGCATTATTTCAGCTTCTACCGACGATCGACCTTAGAGCTTTTGTCTAATGTAGTAAATTATTCGTAAGCAGTGCATGGAATAACCCACTTTTCATCAGCAAAAACTTAGCTTAAAGAACGAAGAAAATACCGTGACGTAGGAAACTTTATTAAGGCAAAGAATGAAGTTCTCGTTGTACAAAATACACTTGAACATATACACGGGCATGTGCCGAGGAAACTTACTGGTTTTCAGTAAGGGCACACGGTCAGATGGGCTGAAAGAACTGCGGTAAGTTTGCGGGACT